GACAAAATATGATGACTCCCAAAACTCCAACAACTAAGCCTCGAAGTTTGGAGTTCAGAAGACGAGTGAAGAGAAAAGAAAAGAAAATCATATAAATAAACCATAGACTATGCTCAATTATAAACCTAACGAAATAGACTAATTATTGACTAATTCTAAACCTAATCCTATCTATAAGCGACTAATAACGATCCATTCTATAAAACCATTAATATTAAACAGTTTTTCATCTTCAAGTATAGAGCAACGAGCTATAAATTACTTTCTCTATTTCAATTTAAGTGTGGTTTTAAAAGTATTTTTTTTTTTGTTTCAAAATAAACATCTTTTTAAAAGCTTAATGCAAGTTGTTATCACAAAATACCAAATATACCTCCTAATCAAAATAAATTTCAAAGATATGAATTATATTAAAGGATATTAAAAGAAGAATACCTGTTTTGTAAAGAAAAAAAAAACATAATATAATTAGTTAGTTTCTTAATTCATGTCAAAAAAACATTTATATTGAAACTGAGATAGTATTTGATTTCAAATGATAGAGAACAAGAGCTAACATTTTGTAAGTTCTAAGAATATTAGTTTCCACTTTTAAAAATTGCTAGTTCTGAAGATAAACTCTTAAAAAGTGTTCTTTAGTTTAGACAAAGTAATTAGATAACGAAGTTACGCTTTTAATTTTCTTCTATTATATAGTAAAATTACAAGTGTATGGTCATCATCACTAGTTAAGCTTTTAATCGGGTGTGACGTGCATTCGCATTAGTTTACTCTACACCTATGAAGCACAAGTACTTTGTTTTGGTACCGTTTCCCGTACCAGAAACGTCCCGGAGACGGATACGCCTCGGAGACACCACCGAAACGTCTCCGAGATGTCTCTAACATTTTAGGGACGTCGACAATTAACGGGGACGAAACCTTTCGAATTTAAAAACATTTCTCAAACGTATTATGTTAAAAATTAGTGTTTCCGTTGTTTGTTATATATATTAATTATTATTTTTAAGAAAAAAWMYAAAWWAAAWMMAWWAKKWWAAAAAAAATTATTATGAAATAGGGTTTCAAATTTATTATACATCTCATACATAATCGACATTCGTTTTTTCAAATAGTCTCGATTCTTGACTCTTTACAAGTCAACAAGGTTTACGTTACTCCGATCACCGTATGTTTTTCTATCTCTAATAGATTTTTTTCTTGTAATTTAAGCTCTATTGTTAATGTCAAAATAAATCTAAATCTTATATTTATTAAGTGTTATTTTATACTGAGATTTATGATGTAATTTTTTTATATGTATTCATAGGTATTTTATATATATATCTGTTGACGTATCCCTACTATACCCGTATCCATAAATTTTTAATATTACTGTTTTCCGTTCCAGTATCCGTCTTCGTTTCTTGTCCCCGTACCGGTGTCAGTGCAACCTAGCTCTACACCTCATTATTAATTATCAGACGCTTTCATCGTCACGAGACAGAGACCTCCATTTTAAATTCCATTATTAAAACTTTTTTCTAAATTTACACCGATGATTCTTAACAAAACTATTATACATTAACTTCATAAATGTCCAATAGAAATTATTCACACCTGTTACTATTCATGTACAAGCTATATAATACGGCAAACGATGTGACTTTAAAACAAAATTTATACTTTTTATTAATTAATACCTCATTACCGTGAGTTGCATATGGTGTTGAGATTAATTTGATTGTAAAACAATTAATAAATCGAGTTTCGTGGTGCGCTTACTTCAGCCTTCACTAGCTCTTAAAGTATGCTATTTTTAGTATAAATTACTCGTTCTTTTAGATAAACTAATTAACGCTACAACAAAAGTAATAAAGAAGCATATCCCCAAACTAAATAAACCCAAATTTTGAAAAAAATTACAGAAACTAAAATGATATGCAAGACATGAAAGGTGGTTTCATATCATTTTTTTTTTCTTGAGGATTAATTTTTACAAAAATGATACTAATTTAATGATTAACAACAACAATCTCAAGTTAAACCACAAACAAACTTAACGGTAAGAGCTGATTTGAACCATGCATATATTTAGTTTGAGCTCTTTCGGGGTTTGGCTTCGTCGTGCTCTATTTGTTGTTCTCTGCATTCCACGCTACAAAACGCTGCGTCTCCTCTACAATTTACATTATCATACAAATACGTAAATATGATTTCGTGATACATGAAAATAAATAATAATAAATCATTGAGTTTGTATGCTGTTAAGAAAATAAAATTTCATAATTTGGTGGTAGCTAGCTTAGTTTATATCTAAGAAAGATATCGGTTAATGTATTCAGTTTTTTATACAGAATCTTGAAAATTTAACTTAGATGATCAAAGAGTTTTAAAACTAATTATCGAAGAAAAAAAAATTGATGAAATACTTTAACAAGTTCAAATTCTAAACTTCGATTTTAGATTCAAAACTTTAGACATAAAAATCGTCAAAACAATATGACCATCCATCACAAGAAAAACTTGCGCTAACCAGCCAAGTGTTTTCTAGAAGTTATAACGTTTCTTTTTCTTTATTAGTAACTTTCATATAAATGACAATTTATTTCGTCACTCAAAGTTTTTAGTGATGTATATGTATGTAAAGTAGTCATATTAGGTTTAAAAATAAATATTTGTATAAATGAAAGAAAAAAATCAAGAAAAGAGTAATTAATGTGTAAACATACTTGTACATGTAAATATCACGACCCGGAGCTAAACGGCTTTTGCAAAAGCCACAGTTTCCAAGAAAAGACGTCGACGAAAACGCTGATTTTCCTCCGTCTTTGCTCTCGTTTCGCCGATGATTTTCCGGTGAAAACATCGCCAAGAACCGCTGATCGTAGCTATCTCCGCCGTCTACCACCGCCATAGCCAAGTCAGAATCTTGGCCGGAGTTCTGATCATTATCATCAACCTCGACGGTGATCCTCGTTATGCTTATTGTTCTTTGCATTTGTGGCCTTGGTCGATTCCCAATAATCATATTATTGTTTTTCTAAATATTCTTCTTACGATAGAAAGAAAAATAAAGAGAAACTATTTTTTTTTGTATGTAATTAGATTGTTGCTTGAAAGGGGGAATTGTGTGTTACCATTGCACTCGATTTAAATACACAAGCAATCATAGGGTACTGTATGATTATAATAATTCATGCCTACGTATTTTACTCGTAATTTTTATTTTTATATGATATGATTTAAAAAGATTCAATTATTATTCTTCAGGTCTTTATTGGTAGGCCAATAATTTCAGATATTTGGTCCGTGTGTGTGGACACCAAACAGGGAAACATCAATAGCATCACTCTTTATCACATCCAACACCATAAGAGAGAGTCTTCACAAACATCAATAGCATCACTCTCACTCTGAGATAATATAAGAAAATGATAGTAATAGTAATATAGTTAAACATGTATAGGCTT